CATGCATATTTGGTGTGAAAACAAATCTTGTGTAGTCTTCACAAACGAAACCAGTATCGGAAAAATAAATTTGCTTGGATGGTAAAGGCGATAACTAATCTGCTGTGTTAACGTTAATCTCCTTTCCGTCAATGTGAGTGATCGACTGATGTACACAATCAGTATGCGCTCACCAGTTCCTTTGTCTTGCTGTGGAATTGCCCCTAAACCGACCGGACTGGCATCTGAGATAACACACGTCGGAGCGTCTAAACGAAGTCAAGCCAAGGCTGGTGCGCCAGACAGTGCTTCTTTCAAGGCTTCGAATGCGTTTGTTTGCTCTTTTCCTCATGACCAGGCCGCTTGTAATCTTTCCGAGTGAGCTTTCGAAGTGGTTCCCCATAAGAAAAGGGCTTTTCTTATGGACGTAGAAAACCTCAAAATGGACAACTTGCTTAAATGGGTTCCCTTCAACGTAGTAAGCGGTCAGATAACAAGCAACGCATTGTGGAAGTAAGGTGTGGTATTTTTGGTGAGAATTTGACTTATTTTCTTATTCCTTAGAGCGGTCGTAAAAATTCCCATACAAACTCTCGCCATGAATGTTATTTCGTAAGATGATCATCTCACAGCTGGAGCTTGGGCCGCCTGTGGTTGGTTAAATATCGTAGGTATCCGTTGGAGATCACGCGTCTCGAATAGCGCCTGAGACTTTGTCCTTGCAATGTGGGGCACTTGGGTCGATTAGTTTGCGAACTATGACTTCACGCACCGGCAACGGAAGAAGCTCAAGGACCTTAATTAAGAAGCAACTGTGGATTGTGTCGCGTTTTTCTTAACTGACTGATGGAATGATACGTACCACTCACTTGCCTTCGTCCACGGTGGCACTACACAACACTCCTTGACACAGCCGTGAAAGTAACTACACGGGGTTTTTGGGCAAAGAAAGCAGTGGGGCCTGCGCTCCAGTATGTCACACGGGCTTTATTTTGGCTTGTTGCGCAAAATTTCTTATTCAATTGACGTGATTCGATCCGTGATCCGATCAGTGATCCGATCTGTAATCCGATCTGGTCCGATCCAGATTTTGTCGACGCCGTGAAAACCCACTTTTTGCGTCGATCTTAGCAAAGTATTTAGAGCCATGCAAAGCATGCAAGCATATCCTTAATTTAAGGTAGAACACATCTTTCTCTAATAACAGCCTTATTAACCTCTCTGAGGTCGCAACATACCCTGAGGTCACCCGACTTCTTGGGTACATTAACTAGATTTGAAACCCAGGGGCTTACTTCTGTAACCTCTTCAATAATTCTTCCTCTAACACCCTGTCAAGTTCATTATGTAACTGCTTCGATTTGACTGACAGGTTTGACCTCGGGGTCAATATATAATATTTAAGTTCATTAGGTTACCTATCCTATTCCTCGAAAAACATAATCGTATTCCTGGAGCAAGGAGTCAAGCTCAGTGGTCTGACCGACTGAGTTTACTTGGGCAAGGATTTCTAACTTAAAACTAGAATCTCCTCCTAGTTACGATTCTGCTTTACCATCTATTACATAAACCTTTGAATTAATGGCCAAATGACTAATACTAATGACAGCGTTAGAATAACCTTTACAAATTAACCGTTTGTTCATACGCGGTGAAGCACCTTTGAGTTTCATTCAGTTTACAGTTCTTGAATAGTGTTTTGTGTAAGTGGGAGGAAGTTATATCATACTTACTGCCAGTGTCCACGATCAACTTGGTTTTTCGTTCGTTTATCATAGCTGTGATGGAGTTGTCCACGTTATTCATGAAGAGTACAGGTTCTTCGCTCTCGTCACCTGAACTGTCCTCAAGTCAATTAGCAGGTTTATTGGATGAGTGGCTACGAACCTTCATCTGTTGAGGTTTCTTCCCTTTACATTTCTTTCCTTTCATCCGTGTAGTTTCATGCTTGGAACGACAAACTCGTTGTAGGTGCCCAACCTTTTTATAGTTGTTGCAAGTTGATTTTAGCGCACCACCGACTTACTTGGGCTGTGATCGTCCGTGCCACTGCAACTGTAACAGTTAGAGCGTTTCGCTGGTGTTCTGCTAGAGGTACGCGCGTGGTTAACGGTGATTGCGTTCCCTTTGGAACCTTGGGAGAGTAGTCGCGCTTCTTGAACGGCCGTCTCCGCGTTACGAGCTATCAGTCACCGTCTTGGCAAGGAAAAGGTCTCCTTGCTGGAGAAGCCTTTGCTTTAGGATATGGGAGGAACATTTCTCGACGATTTGGTCCCTTATCATCTCTTTCTCCAAGTCGCCGAAGTCGCAAGACTTTGCCAACTCTCTAAAGATCGTCAGATACGCGTCGATAGACTCGTCTGCTTTTCGTGCTCGCGATCTGAATTTGTAGTGTTCTTCCACTACGTTGCTTTTCGGAGCGAATTATCCATCCAGGGCGGTCTTCACTCCTTCAAGGGTTTTGTGTTCACCTGAGAGAGTGTTGAAGATGCGTTGAACTGCAGGGCCAAAGCAGTGTAGTATTGTCGCTCTCTGGACGGGCTCCTTCTTTTTCTTCAAGTCTAATGTAATAGCGTAAATTTCAAAGGCACCAACCCAGTTTCTACACTTTCTGTTTGAAAAAGGGTTTTGACGCTCATTTTTCTCAGTTTTTTTCCTGATTTCTCAATAAATGTATTATCTATTTAAATACTCCATGACTGCCTTTGAGTTGTAGACGTCCATCAGCTTAAATAGGAAAATTTAGTTTTAAATAATGTCTCCACTGCAACCTCAGAAGTACCTACATTTCACATTTTAGGAGGATAACATTTAGAGAGTCCCAAATAGGTTTAGCAGGATGCGGGATGAGGCATAAAATCGAGGCGGGATGTGGGATACGATAAATTTTAAAGGAGAGATGCGGGATGAAAATAGGGAGGCGAGACCGGGATATGCCCCGTTTCAAAGGCAGGATAGGAGATAGGACGGATATAGGCGGGATCATAATTTAGCTAAAGTTACGCGTCACCCGACCTCAAAGACTGATTAGAAAGTATTTATTTGCTTTAGAAACGGGCTTGATTAATGTTCCCGTGTAAATTGGGGTTGACAGGCCTAAGTGACTTCGTAGTATTTCCAGTAAGTTCTCCATATTATTTACATGTTTTATTCGACTCCGTGGTATGTCCAGTTTACTTGCCTTCTTTATAATCTTGCTCTCATAAATATGTCTGAGTGAACACCCCTTTCTGTATGATATCATTGGTGGTTTCTCTCAGCAGTTGTTGTTGTGACTGTTGTATTATGTTATTACAAAGGGTAAATGATATTCGATTGTTTGTTTTTCCCTGTTGAAGGAGGCCCGTTTGAAGAGAAATTTATAATGAATAGGATACTCTTTAGAACCTCAAAACGCAGTTATGAGTTAACCTTATTATCTTAAGCAGGTTTCTGAAGCAAGTTTCTCCTTCAAAAAACAAACAAACAAACAAACAAACGTAAATAACTTACTTTGGAGTCTATTTGGCTTTCTTTAGGAGCACATTTGAGCTACATTAAGCTCCAATCTTAATATTACTTTCATAACTTTCTCAAAGTCATCTTAACCCTCCATTAACTCAGTTATCCTGTTATATCTACTGTAGGGAACATTACGTCGCACACGATCAATACAAAATTTAACTCAATGTCAGTCACATTTAATAAATTTGATGGCAAATTCAAATGCGAGTCTAAAGAACACACTTGTTTATGGCTCGGAGTAACTGTTAAAGAAAGGCCAGAGGCAAACTAAAGTTGTAATGACAGCATCTTTAACAAAAAAGATCTTACATGTACCAGTAGTTCAACAAGTAAGCAAAAATTTACTATGAGATAATAAACAGGGGCATAGCCAGCCTAAAGTCCAGTTGATCTGGGCATACAATTTATTTCTGCTCATTGACTTTTATGATACAGCTCTCCCAAACGCTGAAACAAAAATGGAACTTTCTTTGGGTACAGGCTTACAGCAGGTGCAGAAGCTGGCTATACACCTGAATATGTTACTTCTAATCAAGCTAGCAATTACTTTATAAGACATCTTCAGGACAATAATTTAATTTCAATATACTGAATGGTTTTTTATGAAGTTTCATTAGTTTGATGACCCTTCCACACCCAGGAGTGAGTTTCTTTCTCCAATTTTAATACTATGTCATGCACACAAGTGATGAGAGTAAATGGAAATATTACTAGGAGATGATTTTTCAACCAAACACCAAATTCTCAAATGACAATTATGACAAATGTATGACAGACAAAAAAAGGAGAACTACTAATTGAGATATTGAGGGTTAGAAGATTAAACTTATGATGTGTTCCAGTAAATGTTCATAAGCCCTTTCTCTCTAAAGTCACATAAAAACATTTTTGCATAACCATCCCCCTTGAAAGAAAGAAAGTGACACAGGTGAGGCCCATCAAGAAATTAATTCCATTCTTGATGATAGATCTACTGTAAAATCTGTGAATTTCCTTTTCCTTCAATGGCCCATGTATGTACATGACTCACACATCCCATGACTGGTCAGAGAAGTCCCCTATCCCACCCAAACTCTTTCCCGAAAAAAGCAGGACAGTATGGCAAATTTTTATCATCTTTCACTACATTTCAACTTTCTCTACAAGGGAGCCTGTTTCAGTGCCTCCACAGAATATTAATATCACCTCATTACTGTGCACTCTCACATCTTAATGTCTAACCTTATTAGTTGCAGTCTCCTATTTATACGGAAGGTTTGTCATTTACTTTTCAATACACTTCTTATCCTCTTTTTTCACACTTTTAAGTGTGATAATTAATCATTACAAAATAAAGGTCATCTTAGGCTACAATATACAGGGTAGACAGCTTGTTGTCCTTAAAACAAATTTAACCTCAAGCAAAGCATTCAAAACATTGAGGCCCACAAGAGCAGGTGCTCAACAGAAAGCAAACTCGAACAAAATAATGACATATGTACAATAACCGGGAAAATGTTTTGAGTGTACACTGTATTTCTTTAGAGTCCTTCAACATGTATGCAGTTGTTTCCTGATCAGGTGTAAAAAATAAGTTCTGGTAGCTGTCCATCCTCTATGGAGGTTCCATTATTGTTTCCAGTGGCATATGAAAACTGGAAAGTTATCTTTTCTTTCTGCTCTGTTTCAAAAACAACTTTCTTTCCACCTGAAGTGCCATAGTGTGAATCAGGACCCTTCAAAGTTGCACTGGCAGTGTAACTTACTCCAGCTTGAATCTCAATTGGCTCCTTAAACATAACACGGAAAGTGGAGTCGCTGCCATCACTGCTGAATGCTGTTTCATTGTGGCCAAGAATTTTTCCTGTCTCTGTCGCAATGACTTGAATAGTTACTTGATAGTCACTTGGACCATACATTGATCCATAAAGGCCAAAACCCACCACAAAGATCTTTCGACTGCATGTGAATCGTATCCTGTCACTTGTACCACTGTAACCCCAACGACTCTCAACTTTTTGGAAGCGACAAACTGCTTTTTCCTTACCAGTCAAACAACAGCGTGGCTTGTCCAAGAAATTGACCTCAGGCTTAGGGTTGACAGTGAAGTAAAGAAACAAGCTGACTGCCTCCCTGTCAGTGAGGATTCCAAACTGTGCAACACCAGCTGCAAACTCCTCAATGGTCATTAGCGGAAAGCGGATCATGTACAGGGCCCTTGAAAGAACATTTCTACAAGAAATATTAGGAATGATTATGGTTACAATTTTTGTCAATAGAAAAGGGAATTTTTATTTTTACATATATCAAAGGCTCCAGGTCACATACACCACCTTTAAGATCAGTATTGTTGAAGTATTAGGATTATTACAGATGATCCGATTTCACAAAAAATTGGTTTGACCACCAAAACTCCAAAATAATAGAAAATCCCTTATATCATGGTTCGCAAACTTCAGAGCACAGTAGAATTGGAGAAAAAAAACCCATTAAAGCTACCAAAATCTCACAAACTGACAAAAACACCACGCAAAAATAAAAACACCTGACTCCCCTTAGCAATTCCCCCCCTTTACACTTCTTTGACTTTTCAAAGTAGAATTACTTTGATACTGAAAGATGCAGTGCCACTGCTCATATACAAATTCATACAATATTGTTTCGATCCTAGAAGCATAAAGAAGATTAATCTCTGTACATATTTTCAATCAATTCCCTATTTTTGGCCCTACCCCTAACGCCTGAAACTTGTTTCTAATTGAATGATACCTGTATCTCCTTATTGCTACGTGCTTGATTGCGCAGAGCTAACAACTGAGGAGATGAGCTCCATAGGGTTCTCAAGCGCATCCTAAATTTTAAAAGCTTATCAATTCTTATAATCTGACCTTTTGTTTTCAGGAGTGGAGGGTATTCTCCTGCGTTGACATTCGTGTTCAGCCCACCTCAAAGCTTCAGCGAACAAAAGGCTTTCGCGGATGGACAAAGTGTCTCTTTGCAAAACGACACAAAGTGTTTCAAAATCAATATCAGTAAAGCCTTCCGCTGCAATCGCCTCTGCAGTGTTCTTGTCAATACATTCGAGACATAGGTCTGCTAATTGAGGTTCATCAAACAGTCTGGCTTGGCTCAACAACATGAAAGCGTTATCTGGACTTAAATTCTTCTTTAAGAAATCCACGCAGGCGTTTTCCAGAGTTGGCACCGCGTATTTTTTGGCCGTGTAAAGAGTCGTCATTACTGTTTCGGGTCCAATTTGTACTTCGTCGGTATAAATAAATCGAAGCAAGGAGTGGAAAGCTGAATATTCAACGTCGGGTAGTTCCACTTCGTCTGACTCTGTTGACATTCCACCATTGAACATAGCATCAAAAACAGCGCTTCTTACAGCGAGTATAAATTTGTGGGCAGGAATTCGTCGCCTCTGAGTGCCTTTCCCGACCATAAAATGTACATCGCTCACTATTTCGTTGTTAAAGAGGAAGGAGATTGCATCCTGCACAGAAGTTTTCTCAGATTGCCAGTTATACGGAGATGAGCTCATCTCGCGAGTTCATTTAATAGTTTTGAAAAAATGGCTCTTCCAATGAGCGAAAATCAGCAGATTTCTGTTTTGAGTAGATTCCACAAACAGCTTTAACAATATAATCAACGTTCTAGAAAGTGAACTTCTTCCTTGTCAAGGTCTTCGCATTTCCTGATGCGGTGTGCAAATCATGTACGAGATATGTAAAATCTAGACCATAATGCTCATTTAAATACAACTTAGTACAAGTACTTTGATTGGTGAATACACTCTCCAATGCCGTTTGCCCAATCACAACTATCGTTACGTCTCTCGCAGTACTAGTTCAATGGCGGCTCGTGGAGAGTGTTCAAATCTGATATCCATAAAACAGTTTAAGAAAGAGTTTATGGAGTTTCTTGAACCGGCTCAATATGAAAGGAAAAAGTTTGAAATCGACATGACCCAAATGGCTAAGGAAATGGACGTACCAATGGATGTAGTGACAGACTTAAGCGAAGTATGCAGGTATTTTCAAGTCACAACATCGACGATCAAAATAATTTTGTACTATATAATTTTCATCCATGCCCTGCCAAGTTAATCCACCTATAATCTGTTTAACTTTGAAAAATTCCTGTGTAATCCCATACTATTCCAAATAAAGCTTCAGTCAATCTGTTGTGTTCCCTATTGTTTGCGTTTATCAAAGAGCTGTTATACAAAATTAATAATTGGAGACTATGTGGAAGTATGATTGTAAGAGGGTTATATCCAACTTATACGGAATTCTTGCACCCCAAGACTGTAAAAAAATTGGTGGTGCGGACAGTTCTTTGTGTTTATTTTTTGCAAGAACACTTACATGAATATTACTCAGTACGTCTTTTTTTTCTTCCTTTTTTCTTCTTCTATGTGAAAAAGTTCAAGCAATTTAAAGGTATGTCAAAAATTGTCTTGGGCTAGTTTATCATTATGGGCATCAGTGAATATTACCTTTGTCAGATTGACTAACTATAAAGTTAATTTTTCTGATGACTAATGCATTAGAACATGGTTGAAAAGGGTATTTTTTGGCATTTTAGCTAACTTTCATTGAAATTTTCCATTTAAAATTATGGGCACGAACTTGCTGTACTTTCTGTACTCATGAGGCTATGCTATTTGATTCTGTAAATTTTATCACAGTGGTTCTTGACTAGCTATAGAATTATTCTTGATTGTTACACTACTCATTTGATACTATCTATCAGGCTATGGGGCATTAGTTTAAGTCAACAATCAGCCTTATTACAATAATTGGCAGTGACTGGGACCACAAAAAATTTCAAGATGGCAAATTCTGGTTGTCAAACTTGTCTTCAACATCCTATTAATCAGGAAATATCAAAATTACATTTTAAGCCAGAATTAATCCTTACCACCAGAAAACACTGTTATCTGTAATGCAACCTAAATGTCTTTTAACTTTATTATCAACTTCTTACTTTTGAAGGGAAAAAAATAAAATGATCAGTGTGAGAATGTGAGCTGAGAAATATATCGGCCTTTTAATATGGAGATTTAAAAACTTTCTTTTCTTTGTTTTCCTAAAACATTTTGTCATCAGTCACATCCTGTTAAACATGAGTTTACTAATAATTGGTATGGTCCCTCTCTGAGAATAATATACCAACGTGGTGATAATTCTTACCGACTCTGGTTTCATCTTAGTGCCCAGCAGAAACAGAAGGCTTGGAATCTATCGATATTTTTGGGAATTCCATTCCTGATGGAGTAGAGCTTGAATCCTTAAAGTAAGTACCAGTAACTAAAAGTGAACCATTCTTTACAGACTATTAATTTAAAGGAAGTAATTATATGTATCTGATTCTGTGTTCATCAGCTGTTGGGAAACTACCAGTCAGCTCCCACCAAGGAGTACTATCCCATCTTTTCTTCCTTATAAATGTACTGTAATTTTCCTCTCTTTGGTTGATTGTCTTTTGCCTGGCAACCTATAGATTACACATAGATTGTTGCTCAAATTGATAATTAAAAAGTATAACAAACCAAGGAGGAAAGCTAAACAGAACTGATTAATTCTTGTGTCATTATGATTGTAGTTTGCACAATTCATTTTAATTAGTAAATGGTAACAGTATCCTTCATTAAAGAAAATGATTTACTGTGTTTATCATAGATGTTATTTAACCCTGTAATTCCCAAGATCCTAGTATGATTCTTCCTTCTTATTACCATACTTTTGTTTGTAAATTAGACAAAAAAAATTGGATCTTATTCCAAAATAACACCATCTAGCAGATAAACTTGTCTGCTTTTATAACCTGTTTAAAAGATAACACAGTGGAATTGCAAGAAGTTACATGTTAATCACTTCCAACCTGTTAAACTGCAGGCTTCTGAAAGAGAGAAGAGGAAGATTAACTGCTCATAGAAAAGTTGTGAATTATCTTGTAAAGGTATACACTGCTACTTGTCTATAGCAAGCCTAAGAACAAGCTCTGAGTTTGTACCATGTAATGTTTACCAACCAATAATCAGAGATGGGGTGTTGGTGTGATTTATTTGTTATAGTGTGATAGAGAAATTTTAAATTGAGTGTCAAAAATGCACTGTGATCTGGGATTGTTGTGGTTTTACTTTACTTTGCTAAAGTTCCATCCCACAATGCAGACTCTAGTTATGTTCATGTAGACTGCATATATTCATTGGTTGTGTGGCTGTATTGATGACATTTCTAACTGACTAGGTATTCATGTGGTTCATATCAATTTCCAGTCTTCAAACTGCCGGGACCAGAGGTGTACACTTCAGTCTGCATTATCATCTGTATCAACTCGCTACTGATTATTTTCATTGACAGGAAATACAGCCCTCTAAAGAGCCACAAGCATTTCAGGAAATTAAGACAAATGAGGTTATCTTGTCAGTTGCAATTTGTCATCCCCGTAAGGTCAGTAAAAATTGATCACAAAGAATTATACCACCAAGGCATAATTGTATTGTGCCATTATGGAAAAATACTTTTGTGCCACTGTAGTGTTATACTGAATGTTTTCTCTTCATACCCATTAAGACACCCCCCTCATTGTATGCAGAGGTCTCCAGTTATGACTGTTTTTAGATCAGCCAGCAGGGAACACTGACTGACTTAACTATAAAAGCTTAATATTAAGTTATCATAACATAAGTGTTCTTCCTTTAGCAAAACAAGGTTCAAGAATTCCACGTGCTGGGAAGTCAGGTAAGGTGGAATTTTATGTTTAGTCATAATTGCGAGATTGATATGATTAATGACCTTAGTTTGAGCCTTTCCTTTTCCTCAAAAACAAACAAAAAAAATCAAAACAGCATTGCAAAGTTGGCCTCTTTTTCTGACATACACCTTGAAGCAACAATACCTTACTCATTGAAGGTGAATGCCAGATTAAACATCCTAGAATTTGTTTTGAAAAAACAAATATCACTCAAGATGATTATGGAGTGTTTCAACTATCTTTGGTTACTTCTCTCTGATTTCAGAGGGTTATTTCTGTTTTCAGGTGTTCCTGTTCAGTTTCAATGACTCTTACATACAAAAATAATGTAACTTTTCTGCAGTAAGCAAACAACATCGGAAATATCTAGACTACATGCCAGTTGTGGAGGCTTATTTTATTTGCTTTATTGTAAGTGTCTCACAGAATTACGTGACAAGATATTTTGTACTGCTGATGAAATGATACTTGGGGATCACAGCAATAATCCAGACCAATTATCACAAAAAAGAGCTAAGGTTTGTACAATAATAGAGAGGTTTGAAAAAATGTTGACTTGAATGGAAAGGGAAGTGATGTAACTTTTGATGTCCTCCTTTCACCTGTTTGAGCAGTAATGAGATTTACACATGACTATTTGCATTTGTTGTGAAAGGGAGAAAAGAGAGAGCTTTTTTTTTGTACTTTGCTGTGGGATCCAATAAGCAGAAGATTGGGCATAATCAGTAAAAAATTTCGTGCTCTTGTTTACAATAAACGATACTTTGATCATGGTAATCTTAGTGATTATGGTTATGATACAGATGATAATAATATAATAATACTAGTGATTTCAATTCACGCCTCCCCTCTTGGGACTTTTTGCGGACAATTTACACTCTGGCAGGAGGTTAATCAACATTCATTTTGTAACCATGAACCCGCCCAAGGCTTGCTTTGGTACTTTCCGTTCGTATCTTTACTTGAATGTTGTTTGTTCATTTTAGGATGTGTTCAAGTCTGGGTTCTTTTTCATAGAGGGAGTGTTTTACAATGACAAACGTGATCCACTTTCAAAGGATTACAGCAAGTTAGTACATTTAGTTTAGCTTGTCATGTATTCAAATGAATACATGATAATCACCACTCGAATTAAAACCAGCTACAGTTGTGGATTAAAGTCTTTACATAATTGAAAATAACTTCTACCAATCTTGCTAGCCTGTAAGATAGAGATATGTCCTGAAATGCATGCAGTAACGAAATCGGCGAAAATTTCGTCAAAATCGTCATCCGCCAGGCTGATTTCGGTGTGACGAATTGACCAAAATGCATGCAGTAACAAAAATGGCCAACATTCGTCAAAATCCAAAATGGTCAAATCCATGAAGCTTCACTCGGTTTGACAAAATTTCGTCAAATCTGCCATTTTCGTTACTGCGTGCATTTCTGGACATAAGTTTAAGATTGGTTTACATCCTTACTACATCTGTTTGACGGGAGTAGTAACAGACTTCTTTGGATACTAAATATTAGCCCACTAAATCTAAGGTTTGGCTTCAAATTCTAATAGTTTGTGATTTTTATTCGAGTATCCAAAGTAATCTGGACTGTTTTGGATGCTTTACGTCGTCATGTGATTGGTCTAGAGAGCACGTGCCACCTTCTCATCCAATAAGTTTTAAAACTAGAACCAAATGCAACTTGGCCACTTGCGTTTTCCCGCGTCTCAGGCAGTTTGCTGGTTTTTGTTTTGAGTTCTTATTGACTGATATTCTTACAATAACAATACCAATTACAGGGTGATCACTGAGTGGGCCAAAGATCCACAAAGAAGAAAGTGTCCTGGACTTGGCTTATTTACCAGTAAGCGAATGGAGGATGTAATATTTGAAGACCTGAAAGTCAAATTAGGATACCCATATCTATATTGCCATCAAGGAAACTGTGAACATGTTATCATGTTTACTGATCTTAGGTAAGAATAGTCAAGAATATGGTAACTGGCAGGTCGCCCGAAAGTCATCTCGTCCTAAGTCATGTCGCCCGAAAGTTTTTGTCATGTTGCCCGAAATCCTGAGTCATGTCGCTCGAAGAAAAATTAAATTTAAAAAAATCACTTAAAAAGATCAGACGTAAACCAAGAGTACACTGCAGTTGTTTTCAATTAACATATTTGCTTCTATACTATTCCTCTTCGCATGTTATTTCCGTTCACTAAGGACGGTTAAAGGTAAATGCCTTAACAGTGCATCTTTGATCTACTATCGTCTCGTCGTTGCGTTAGTTTGCAGGTGTCCCATTTGAGGACGTATGTCAGTGTTTATATTCCAGCCATATTTTGACGAGCTGCCATTTACGAAGTAATAGCGAGCATTCGAAAATAACCGTCCTTGTCGTCGTGGCCATCTTTTTGTGGACCATCCGTTCCTGTGTCTCCTTTTTGTGCACCGAAATACGATAGGAAAGTGGGGTGGAAGGGAGTGAAATGATGAATCGGTGACAGCTGTGGGTGGCAGACTGACAGATAAACAAACAGACAGACAGTCAATAAGACATTCAGACGAACAAGTTGCTTCAATCACTAAAAAAGTTGATTGATTTTGGCGTTGCTTTCAAATTTTTAGACTGATGAATGTGGAAGATAATCCGAACCTGAATGAATACCCAGTTCAAGTATTCAAACATAGAGGAAAGCGAATCAGGTGCCGCGTGTGTGACGTTTACACTGCAAAGTAAGAGTTCAGCAGGGAGTTCTTTAAGTATTTACTTGTTATCATTATTTTCAGCCATAGGATCAAACTTTTTGGAGCTTTTCCCGATATAACTGTCCCTGTAGCATGTAGTGACGGGGATTTAGGGGGATTCTCGACAGGGGAACTCTCCCCTGGGATGAGATGCTGGACCAGCCATGGCAGGAAACCCCCGGGAGGATACCCCCGGCAGGAAATCCGAGTCTGCTATAAGTACCTTCCTATCCTCCTTCATCGATCGCTCGAAATCACCAGCCGCAGAGCAAGTTTTCCATATATTTACTGGACATTTTTTCTTAATTTATTTCAGATGGGTGACAGTGAATGATGTGTTAGCGTACGAAGAACCTTGTTTTTTCTGTGCCACTTGTTTTAAAGGACTTCATTACTCACACAGCGGAGAAAAAATCTGCGATTTTCAGGCCTATCCAGTGGTTGGGGACTTTGACTGGTAATTCAATGTTAGAACTTGCTCAAAGTGAAAAAGCACACAGAGAAAAGGCACACGAAGCACAATTGGAAAAGCCAACTCGAAAATGTACATCCTTACCTGTGATCCCTGGCCAACGAAGAGCAAAACCCATGAACCATTTCTGTTGATGGCCAATATTTTGTCAGAGGCATTTCTTTGTGAAGGCATAAAACCACGTAAAGAACAGCAATATGTTACGAAAGTTATCCGTTTTAGAAATAGAGATTCCCAACGCTATTCAAAATCATTCAGGTTGAAATTTTTGTTATGGTGATTCCATTTCTCGAAAACAATCGGGGCATCTGAGGTTCGATTCCTCTGGGGGATTTATACTTTTCATTACTCCATGCGCATGACAATTGTTTGAGATCGTTTTCGTATGTATAATTCGCGTTGTTAATATCAAAATTTATCGGATACGTTCGATGGAAAAAAGGAAGATCCGGATTAACGTGACAATTTTATTTTCAGTTTCAATTCGTTAATTTTGTCTGTGTTTTAAGTAAATTGAATAAGTATTTGAATAGTTAAGTAGCGTCTGTGACGACTTAAAATTTCCCTTTCCATCCATGTTATACAACATCCTATTTTCGAAATCTAGAGAGATCGCCTCATTTATTGCGGTTCGCGTCGCCGAAGGCGCCATGGGCGCAAGCATTTCTACCCAAAAGATCTCTGAAGAAGATCGGTTGAAACGGCAAAACTTACAGAATGAACTTTGCAAGATGCAACACAGTTTGCGAGTGACGGCAGCTGCTCATTACTTATCTTCAGAGCACTATAAAAGCCTGGATACAAAGCTTCAGTTCGCGTCAGTGATCTTGGGAAGTTTTGGGACCGCGGCAAGTGTGGCGTCTAAATTGGCCTGGAAAATGATGGTTTCAAACAGTCCTCGTATCGCACCGATCGTAGTTGCGACTTCCACAACTTCAGTACTCTTCACAGCTGTTGTGAATATACCAAATGTTCAAAATGCGCCGGCTAATTTGTACAAGGCTCACTTTAAGTCTGGTATTCAATGCCAGTACCTCGAGAAGCGAGCGAAGTTTCTGTCGGAAATGGAAGTGTGGGATACAAAGATTTCTTGGCAAACTCTTGCCAGCAAATACGATGCTTTGCTCAAGGAGAAGACAGAAGTGAACAGCCAAATGCAATCGGAGTACTGGGCTTACCGCAAGGCGTTAAAAAAAAACGAGGAAAAACAACTGGAAAAAAAGAGAAAAGAGGCTTTTTACCAGCAACCAGAAGGAACTCAACCGTTACATCATGTTAGTGCTGAATAGTTTTGAAAGTTTCAGTTTTGCGTGTCATCAGAGTTGGAAATAAAAGGATAGAACGTTCCCCTCAGGGTATAATTTTAACATTTCCGGATAGAAACTGCGATCGACCATGCGGTATTTTTGTTTCGATTATTTAGATATGAACTAAAATTTTACTTTTTGTTGTCGCTTTGTGTACCGACAGAAGCTTTACGTGAATATCGGTCATCGTGTCACAGCACAAGATATATGCAATTTACAATAGACCACTGTTGTAAACATTATTGTAATTAAACCTTTTACATAGACTTAGAGCCTATTTCAAAACAAAAGATGCGATAGTTTAGTTGTGTATAAACCTAGGCATTATGCTACTTCCTGTTTCAAGAATTTAATTTTTTAAAATATCACTGCCGTGATGGTATGCTAGGAGATCTTTCCAGTTCACTATGCTACCATTAAAGTTCTTAATAATAACTTTTGATCCTTAGTTCTATCTTTGGATTCGTAATTAAAAGTTGGATCCGTATGTTGTAATAACTTTGGATTTGTATTTGGATTGTTAAAGAAGTTTGCTCCTACACACATAAAAAGATTTATCTTAACTAATGAAAAAGTAAATATGAAACTGTGACATTCGTTGTTTGAGATTCCAAGCAGTGACCTAACCTGTCAAAAGTTGACCTCTGATGAGTTCAAATTTAGACTAAGGACTCCGCTATTTTGAATACTGCTCAGCAAACTGCCGCCTTACTTGTGACGTGACAAAGCCACGCTTTTTTAATTAATCTCTTTGCGATCTTTTGGTACAGTTAGTAGCTGTTCAAAGAAGCGATTTTAAGCAAAGAGTGATGCTGACTTTTTTTGTTGCTTTTTTTTGTTTTTGAGTTTTTTGAGTTGTTTTTTTTTAATGAAAAAATATTATTAGCTAAGGACGATTTTGTGTATGTTTTCGATGCCTGGAGAAAGTGATCTTGTGGAGTCGTTTGTGTTTGGTCAAGGACGAATTTAGATACCATCCTAAGCATGTTTATTTGATTTTGTTATTCGGAATGAATAATTTACGGAGGTAAGTTAATATGATGTGATCCACTAACGTCGAAAATATATCAAGTCAAAGGAACAGTTTTGGGCTCAGTCCGCAATTTTTTCAACAAAATAAACACATACCGCTGAAAAAGATGATAATTCGGACCACCTGCAAAGCTGTCAATTGTTTCTTGAAGGTTGTGCATGTTAAATATTCCGCAGTGACATCTCATTTACATCTACATCTACTCTTACGTTGGTAAAATCTGTACAGGCATCACACCAACCAACTCGCGCGCAAAGTGAGAAGACTATGCGAAGGTTTGAAATTGTATTAAGATCGATCTTGATCAAGAAATGGGCCAGGAATATTCCACAATAGTGCAAATAATCGTGAAAGCTGATCGCGGAAAAGCAATTGCGTGACGCTCGGTAAGTTTAAGATACCAGACGAAAAAACTCTTAAGGTTCTCAGTGTGCATTTTGTACCCACCTGTAGTCTGCAGTCTACATTTTGTACTAACAAGTATCGGTGGCACCAATACAGGTTATTTTTGGGTACAGTTATTCGCACAACACACCTGTGTGTGAGTTAACTCGACATTTTCGTCCTTATCCGCGTTAAAACTCTTCTTTCCTTTTGTAAACATGTAGACATCACTTATACTGTTTCAAGTAGTCCCTCACCCCAAAAAAATAACTCTTGCATGCATAGCATGCCCATGTTTTTTTTGGCTATAAGCTAAACACAAGCTGTTTTTAGAACGCGCATTGGGGTGCGTGTGCGACCAAATTGTCTAGTAAGTCTAGTCTACACAACTGGAGACAATTGTGGTCTGTAGAATCCAAAATGCGGTCAGTAGTTAATTTTCATTTGCACTTTTTTCTAGTGGAAATTAAAAGTACATTATTTATCCTTCAAGGGGCACCTAAGCCAAGTCCCAAGTCATTAGTTAGAACTATTAAAAAGAGTTTTAAATAGATTGTCGAATGTGAGTTCGATCCTAAAATAAACAAAAGAATGACCTCTAGAGAGAGACCAGAAAGAAACGACAACTTTTGTCGTTAAGGAGTATATCTGTCAATCGTGACTATAATTGTGTAGTTTTGAGTTCTTTTCAAGTCTTAGTTAATAGAATCAACATTTTTCTATCAGAGAATGCAGTAACTTTGATTCTCAGATCTCATGGGTTTTCAGCTGGTGGTAGTTTCTTGAGGAGTCAAAGCTGTGTGATATTCTGCATCATTATCAGAACGTTGTAGATTTTAAAATGAGCCAATGGATGTATACCATCTGACTAAAAACTGAAAAAGGAACAGCTAGGGAAGAGGGAAAACCAGGAGACAAAAAGTAAGGAAATGCATAAGTGGTTAAAAGAGTCAGCTTCTGCTGCCTGTATTATCAGGCTTCAATATGTGTGGGTGTCTATACCCATAACAACTTCAGGGAATACAGGTGGTGCCTTGTCTAAGTTAGCATGGAAAAATAAAACCCACCAGCTACAGTGGAGAAAAGAAGGAAAAAATGCCAGCTCAACCAATACTGTCTATTTAATTGCATTTAAGATTTCTTTATTACTTTAAATTTCTCAATAAATTAACACCTATCAAATAGCAAAAGCCCTTTGAAGGAAGAGAGTTTTCAAATAACAACCCAAATATCAATGCAAGAATTGTTACAAGGCAGATGCCTCAAGCACAACTGTAATTTGATAATAGGAAATAGTGCATTTAGGTCTTCTTCAATATTGGCCAATAGAAGAAAGTCGTTTGTGGAAGCAAAGATTACATGATAGCACCACTTTCTTAATGATTACTACTCAAACTTATTCCTAAAATCGAGAGAATGTACTGTTCCAGAAACTTTTCCTCGTGAATCATTTTGGTTGCCCTACAAAGTTGTGGGACATTTCAAGAAAAACAACAACATATTTATGCAAGCTTCACAAAGGCTCGTCAGAACATGTGTACGAGTATTGGATGGCAAAAGTAGTAAGCACAGTCATCCTCATAGCCTTGGTCTGTTTGGGTAGCCCTGTGGATAACAAGGGTTGGAGTCCAAATTGTCTTCAGAGTTTGAACAGAAAATCCTTCTCTGTCTCTTATTTTTTTGTCCAACAAAGTAATGTGATGAGCTATGTTCCAACTGAATGATGTAACACCATTGCCAGTCAAAACAAAGTTTACTGTCAACGCTTAGTTAAAAAGATCTTTGAGTGAAATGAATTAATTTTATCTTCAAGACTATTAGACTTGTATAGTATGCAGTGGCCTAAGATTGAGTCCTTGACAACACAAGAAAATGTTTTAGAAGGAAGTATGGCTAGGGTTTGCAACAACTGTAGAAATGTCCTAAGCTTATGCACAGGTAGGGAGCACTCAAAAGTATCCAACAATATTGTAACATATTATATTAGCATCAAGTTGAGAAAGATAAAAAAGTTTACAGATTGAGCCACTGATTAATTTCCATTATGATCAGAAATTTAAATTTTGTTTTACATAACTAACTTTGCAACTAAATCTCACTATTTTTGTATAATTTATATCTTAATCTGGCAGTGTACATCACCAATAGAACTCCACTTTGATTTCTTTCTCACCTTCATTTCAATAATTCCATCACTTAATTTTTTTGTACAAGGAGTATTAAATAGTCAAAATTTATGTCTGTATGTGCCATAAATATAAAAAAATATATTTTGGTCAGCTATTATCAGAACTTTGGTCCTGATCTGTGTACTTTGTTCTAAGGTATACAAAGGCAATGAATCCAGGCAGTAATATACCTACAACAAACACAAGCACGATTACTCCCTTCCAACCAACTCCGCAAGCAGCACCAAGTGTCTTTTCTTGCTGTTTTCTCAGTTTTATAGGGTTTATGCAATTAATCGTCAGTGTTCTTGTGACTTCATCAAGATTACTCTTACGCAAAGGTGTTGATTTGCAAATAAGTTTAAGATCATTGTCCATGTGCTTTAGAAAGCTGTTTGGTGAATCAAGAGCAGACCGAATACTAACAGTTCTAACACACTCTCCATTGGGTTCCATGTCCTCGTAATCAGACTCGTCATTCTCATCATCATTATCTACCCCTGATGAAGAAGGCTGGTTCCCTGGTATTTTGAGAGATGGAGGTCTTTGCTTTTTCTCAGAAACTTCAGTCAATATCCCATGTGGTTGGACTGGGATTTTAATGGTCTTAAGTGCATAAAAATCTTGATCACTGTATAGGTTGTTAACTCTCTTTAGCTCTGCAATCTGTGGAAAAACAATGCTCAGTCAGTATCAACATTTACAATACAAGCCAACATGAGTCTGTAAATTCCATATTTAAATTTGGTATGAAAATTTGCACCCAAAAAAATTTAAATAACTTTTTTTTAACTTAAGCAATCATATTCTCTGGAACACTGTTTTCTTAACATTTGCTATGTGGGGAATTTTTTGACAATCAGGAGCCTCTTAAGTGCTGATCATTTCTGTTATTCCCATAAGGGAATACTAACAGTTCTAACACACTCTCCAGAACAAGAACCTAACAACCACACCACTGTGTTAAATTTGATTCAAAGGTGATACTGTAAGGAAATATCAGAGGCCATACACTCACGAGCGTGAAATGGTTAAATGCAAATAATAACTAATGGAATTGTACTTCAATCCAATTGATTGGCAGTACTTCAATTTTCCTTTTCTCGATTTTTTCCTGAAGTAAATTGAAGAAAAATTATGCAATTCTTGAAATTAAGCAGAACAGGACCGCCAAAATTTAACATAATTCCTTCCCTAGTTTGGAGCCCTCTACCACATCAACCAGTTTTCTACTCAAGAAAAAATGTTATGGTTAACCAATATCATTGTTTTCATCTTCGCCCTCGTTTGCAGTCCTCTGCCACATCAACCAGTATTCTAGCCGAGAAAAAATGTTACGGTAACCAATATTATTTTTTTTGTCTTGACGCCCACGAGCTCTATAAGATGTATCGAACTAAAGAGCATGGTGTTTTTGATCATAGAAAAATAAAAACCCTTACATTCACCTCTTTAAAGTGTTTAAGTTAATCATGAAGTTATAAAACAACATTACCAATTCAAAACGGCATTATTTAAGGTTATGTAAGGAGTATGATCCAAGCTAATTATTGATTGTACAAATAATTTCCAACCTTGGAACATAAAACAGGGATAAGCATAATATATAAGTTTTTATTTTCGTCTTCCTATCCATTTGTATATAATATATCAATTGGCATAAAAAGTGTAACAAATTAAATTGAAATAAGTATTAAAATCACATACCGTACACCCGTATTGTAGAGAGAAACTTTGAATGGTATCAGATGGTTGAATTTCACGATCGATAGTTTCTGTCTTCTTAGACTGTTTAGAGGCTGTTTTAGTGGATGCATATGATCTCTTGTTTCTACTCCTTGGTCTAAGCTCTGTCATCTCCACTGAATCATCCTCGATCTCAACTTCCTCGGCTCGATCATTCCCAAAGATATAAACCCGTGATGACGAGACATTTTGTATTTCATGGTCAATTACCGAGTCATCTTCTGAACGCGTTGAAACATAACTTGTATAGCCTCCTTTCTT